TTTTTTAATATTTACTTTTTGCCAGAAGTTATATTAAGTTTCAGTAATCCGAAAATGATTAAGATGTTTTCTCTTCTGTCCGATAGCTCAGCCTGTTGGAAAATAGAGACAGCTTTTTAACTGGGATGCCCAGAGGGTTAGGCCCCGGAGCTCCCTCCAGCTCTGCCGCTTCCTGGTCTCACGGTCTCTGGGCTTCAGTTTTCTCCCTGATGATGGGGGCGGCGCGGGGGTGCCTGGCTGGCTCAGTTGGCAGAGCGTGCGGCTCTTCATCTGAGGTTGTGGATTCGAACCCCACGTTAGCTGTAGGGATTACTTAAAAATGAAATCTTTAAAAAAAAAAAAAAACGGGAATGGTATGGAAATAGTACCTGCTCGTGGACTGTGTGAGGGTTGCAGGAGAGAACCGTATGGAGTGCCTGCTTAGGCTGCTACCTGGCGGGTGTGACTGTTAAGGTCAGTTTGTTGACAGGGTCCTCTTGTCCTTTTCCTCTGATTCAGGGTTTTTTAACTATCAGAAAAGTAACACGTCTAGTCACAGCCTATAAATAAGAGCCAGTTCCTAGTCCTTCTGGCTACAGATTTGCAAGATAAGTAACTGAACAAAATTTGTATAGCTGAAAGGAAGATTTACAACTTTAGCTGAAATCTTTTTTTTTTTTTAATGTTTATTTATTTTTGACATCAAGAGCACCAGTGGGGGAGGGGCAGAGAGGGAGACCAAGGATCCACATCACGGGCTCCGTGCTGACAGCAGGGAGCCTGACGCGGGGTTCCAAGTCACAAACCATGAGGTCATGATGTGAGCCAAATTCAGACACTAACCAACTGAGCCACCCAGGCACCCCAGCTGAAAATCATGTGCTTTCTATTTAAGAAGCATCCAATAAATTAGGACCTGTAGAGGTCACAATCTCCTTACCAAACAGGAAGCGGAACCACCTTTCTGAGTGCAAGTGCTCAGAAAGGACAAATGGGACCCCTCATCGCATGAAACTTCCCTGCTGCTTACAAGTAAAATGGTCACCATAGGGCGTTGTCTCCTCAGAAAGCTTTAGGAACTTTTCTTCATTGTTTTTCCCAATGAAAGTCCAGTACACATATGGGTCCCATTGACATTGTTCAAACTTAGTTGTGAAACATCATGTTCACCAAGAGTTTGACGGTGTGGAAAAGATGTTCTATGTTGTGTTAAGCTGTAAAACAGAGAGTCAGGTCATAGGACAGTGTTTCCTCAAAAGGGTTAAACAGAGTTGCTGTAAGACTCAGCTGTTCCGCTCCAGGGCATTGACCCAAGAGACATGAAGATGTCTGTCCACACAAAACCTGTGTTGGAGGTGATGAGAGCACACAGTGTTCATGTCCTTAGTGCCACAGATTATACACTTGAAAGTGGTTAAAGTGGTAATTTTATGAATAATTTACCACAGTGAAAAAAAAAACTTGCACATGAATGTTCATAGCGGCATTATTCGTAATCGCTAAAAAGTGGAAACAACTCAAATGTCCATTAGCTAATGAATGGATATAGTGTACTGTGACCACACAGCGGAATGTTGTATGGAGCCCTGACACAGGCCATGACAGGGTCAACCTTGAGGACATCACACTCGTGGAGGAAGCCGGACACACAGGCTCATGTTATGTGATTCCATTTATGTGAAATGTCCAGAATAGACAAATCCATAGACAGGAAGTCGGTCAGGGGCTGGTAGGGGAGCGGAAATAAGCACTGATGGGTGTACATCTGCTCTAAAATGGGTGGCGTTGGGTGCACCTCTGCAAGTGTACTCAGAACCACTGAGCTGTGTGCTTTAGAGGGGTGGATTGTATGGATGAGAATCCTGTTTCAGTAAAGCTGTTAGAAGCTATATACAGTATCACTTCAACTAAAGAAGAAAACGACTAAAAATATGTCTATTCATGTATACAATGTACGTATATATATGTGTATATATATATATATACACACACAGACACGTGTGAATAAGGGGTTAATAATGATTTTTCTCCTAGTAGAGTGATAGATTAGGATAATTTTATTGTCTACTATTGTACACTTTTCTCTATAATTTGGGAAAACCCCTTCTAATTTTGATTACCGGGAAAAATTTACAGTAAACAAACTAAAGAAATAAAATCCGGGATGATGTTAATACCAACGTTGGCTTTTTATTAAACTCGGTCAGAATCTATCTTTTCTAAAAGAAAGAATTAACTTATTCCTCTTGCCCCGACAAGTATTTCACAGTTAAGTAACAGAACACAGAGGCTATGATAATACTTTTTATTTTTTTTTAATTTTATTTTTTTAACGTTTTTATTTATTTTTTTGGGACAGAGAGAGACAGAACATGAACGGGGGAGGGGCAGAGAGAGAGGGAGACACAGAATCAGAAACAGGGTCCAGGCTCTGAGCCATCAGCCCAGAGCCCGACGCGGGGCTCGAACTCACGGACCGCGAGATCGTGACCTGGCTGAAGTCGGACGCTTAACCGACTGCGCCACCCAGGCGCCCCGATAATACTTTTTAAAAATAGTGATTTGAATTATTAACATCTTGCCAAGATCATGAAAATTCTAGAAGGTAGTATGGATGGATTTGTTTATAATATTGAAGACAGGGGCCCTTAGCTCTAAGCAGAGCAGAAATTCCAGAAGCCATAAAAGATAGGAGAAGTGATCAGTGTTACTGCGTGGAAGTTTTGTACCGTGAGTGTGTAAATATGCCTGCGCACATGCACACGTCCCTGTGCTTGTAAACACACGTACGTGCACACCTATGCGTGCGTGCATGTGCTCTGGAACTTGTACCTGTGCACATGGTAAGCAGGCCAAAGACAAATGGGAAAAATATTTGTAAACATGTTAAAGCCAGTCAAGTTACTTATTTCCTAAAGATCTGCAAGTGAAAGTTGGAGGAACCCAGCTGTGTGGGCAGCTGGTGCAGAGATGAGGAAGTGCTCGCCCCGGCCTGGAGGAAAGGCAGAAGGCACCTGTACCTGTCACACTGCAGACCTGTAGGAGCAGGGTCCCCTCTGGGGTGCGATCGGGAGCAGCGTCTGCCTCAGCTGGGCTGCCACACACACATGTTCTTGGAGCGGCCCGTCCAGCACGTCAGAGCCTGTGGCAGCGGAGTGTCTGCCTGAGGAAGGGGTGGCGATGCCTGCTTCACAGGGCGAGGCTGGCACTCGAGTAAGAACTTTGCCCAAACCTGGTGGATGGAGAGATTGAGATGCAGAGCGGTGTCGTCTTCACCGTGGGCATGAATAGGAAGTGTGTGCGGGTGCACAGATGTCCCTGGGGCCAGGTTGTCTTCACAGAGATATGGGCTGTCCATGGCTTCCACTTTTCACGTGGACCTTTGTCAGCTGTCTGCACCTTCCCTTCCTTATGGCGTATTTGGTTTGCAGTGGGGGGGGGGGGGGGGGGGGCGCGCCCCCCGGGGCGGGGGGGGGCAGGGGGTCTGTGTGGTGGCTGGGAGCGCGGGCCCCAGAGCCAGGTGCCAGCACGTGGCCTGGAGCCACAGCTTCACCTCTGCTCCACGTTCTCATCTGCGGATGGGATGCTTCCCGCACTTGTCAGGAGAAACGCACCGAGACTGGAAGTCGTGTGTGCAGCCGAGTGCGGCCCAGTGCTCTGGGCCTGGAGGAGAGCAGGGTGTTTGGGGAGGACAGTGCTGAATACATGAGTGGTCACCCAGAAGGTGTCTAATCAGATAAATGCACGCACAGGGTGGGAGTGGGGTGAGGAGCAGCGAGCAGCAGGTGGCCACGCCAGGTTGGCAGGGCCTCTGGGTCGCAGACCTTGAGGCCCAAACGTGAAGGACGCCATGAGGGACGTGGAAACGTGCCTTCAGGGAGCGGAGGCTGGTAGAGGTGGCTCTGTGGGTGAGGGACGGGGGAGGCTGCGGCCGGGCGGAGGAACCTGGACTCATTGTCGTTCTGGCTTCTGTGGTGCATTAGAGACCAGTTAGGAGGCCGGTGGAGCCATGCGGGGAGGCGGTGGCACCCAGGAAAGGGGTGACAGGCACAGGCCAGGCTCCGGATGACTGCGCTAATGTGTGAGCGAGCTGTTAGTTCCCTGGGGTGGGAAGACCGGGCGGGAACTGAGGTACACCCAGCCTACTTTGTTCAGCGCCCCAGGCACGTGCCTGTCCCTGCCTGGTGACCCCACGTGGAGCCCTCTACCACAACTGCCCTTCGAGCCCAGCTTGTTCTGAAACCCCCATGAAACCACTCGTGTGACTTGACATCCATGTCCACTGTTGCCTGACTGCGGTGATGAGTCCTCTGCCAGTAATCAGATCTGTATTCTCCCATCGAGAACTTTTAAGCCAGAATTTAGGACTAAATTGTTTCCTTAATGTGATGGAGAACCAAGTTTCTAAAAACTAAACTGAAATAAGTAAAAAGTACATACAAACAGTGCCTTTCTTCTGAAAGTCTTCTGGCTGGGATCTTAAGAATACGTTCTGAGATGTAAACAGTGTATTCTAAAAAGAGTTTAGCACAGAATCCTGTTCTCCATTAGACATGAAATGTGGTCACGTCCGATAGACATGAAATGCGGAGTTCTGGCTTGGGTGACAGACTGTTTTGCCGCAGGTCACTGGAGTTCTGTGGCCATTGCTGAGCTGCGGGGTGATGATTGCCTCATGAATTTCAAGGGGGTCAGCTTAGATCCTGGCGAGGAATGTTATTATCAGCCACTGAGTGAGATGTATAAGCTACAGTCGTTATAACCTATGTGTAAGGTGTATTGCTTTAAAGTATCCATTGCAGAACAACAGTTTCCATATTTGATTCAAATAACTTAATTTGAACCAAGTTATTTAGAACTAATGTGATTTTTAGGTTTTATTTTAGTCTCTGTAAAAATGTATGTGATTTGGGAAACTTATTTTGTAACATGTCAAAGATCAAGTTGAAAGCCCATTTTGTTGGGTTTCAGGGAAATGTGGAGGTGAAATAATGTCCCTTTTTTCTTTCCTTCTCTCCTAGCATTGTCATGGAGACTCTGCGGATACTGGCTTTGGTGGGTCAGATTCTTTTCTCGCTGGCCGCGGCTTTTCTCCTGTGTCTCGTTATAAAGACTTACCTCATTGGACCGTATTATCGAAAACTGCATATGGAGAGCAAAGGGAACAAAGAAATCCTTATCGTAGGAATCTCTGCTTTCATCTTTTTAATGTTAACGGTAATCCTCAAAATGCCTGTTATTTACATAGTCTGACCTGTAATCTGTTCATTGAGAGCTTATGATCCGTCAGTTCTTTATCTTGTCACTTCAGTGGTAGTTAAAATAATTCGAAATGCATGGCATTTTTATTTTATGCACGGTTACTACACTGCCCATGAATTCATACCCAGTAGACTAAACCCGTTCACTCTCAGCCTCTTGAGCCTTTTGCTGAAACGGTACCTCAAGCGTCGCACACAGGCAAGTCTGGGTGGCCTTGAAAACCACGTAGTCTCCAGCGTCACCAATGTTACGTGGTCTTAAACTTAAAAACAGCTTTGTACCTGAAACCATAATAACAGTTTAAGACAATTTTTACTTCTATTTGGTGACAACAAAGCCGGTCAGCAGTATAACTTCTTTCGCCACAATGTGAGAAGTTGAAGATGAAAATCAAAGGTTCGTTTTGGAAGCAGCCTTCTCCTTTAAAGGATGTGCTTCTGAGGGATGGGGGGGTATGCTGTTAGACCCCCACAGACAGCTGTGCTGCTCACCACGTGCCCCTGAGGAGGGAAGGCGGGTTCACACAGAAGCTCCCACGTGAGTGTTCCTAGCAGCCAAACGCCACCCAGATGTACTTCAGCAGGTGCCTCCTTCTGCCGGCCTCGGTCCGTCCACACCAGGGAAGGCCACCCAGGTTGGAAACGATTGTACGTGAGTCTCCAGAGAGTTCTGCTCTGCTGAGCAAGAAAAGCCAGTTCCAGAGGTTGCATACTGTGTATTTCCATTTGTGTGACATTTACGATGAAAAATTTCAGAAATGGAGGGAAGGTTGCCAGAGGCCAGGTGTTAAGGGGTGGGGGTGGGGGGAGGGTCCTTGTGACAGAAGGTTGTGTGTGTCTTCACTGTGTTGTGTCTGTATGCTGGCCATGATCTTGTGCGCTGATGTAGCAAGATGCTGCCACTGGGGGAGCTGAGCAAGGGTACGTGAGGTCTCTGTGGTTCTTAGAACTGCAAGGGGTCAGCTCTTACCTCAAAACCGGAAAGGCACAGAAGCTACTTCTTGTGTAGGATTTAACTACTGACTAGTGTTTTGTAATCTTGGGAGACTAGGATTTGCTTCTGCTCAACGCTGCCCATGTGTGTGACTTATTTAATTTTTTTACATCGCTTTCTCCATTCTGGACTATTTTTCTCTTTAAAAATGACATCCAGCAAAATTCTTCTCTGGATGACTTCCATGTTGTCTTCCCAGTGGCTACACAAGTTAAAATAGTTCTGTTTGTTCTGTTTTCTTTCTTTGACACTGTTTCCTGAGCAGCAGCTGGGACCACCCGGCATGCTAGGTGCTGGCATCCTGCACGACAGAGAGTCTAACAGCTCAGGCTCCGCTGTTGCAGTGCGTTACCCCCCCCCCCCCCCCGGGGGGGCGCGGTTGTAGGCGTGCACTAGCCTCCGGGTGAGCTCTGTTTTTAACATAGGTTTGTTTGTTTGTTTATTTAAAATGTTTTTATTTATTTTTGAGAGAGAGAGAGGGAGACACAGAATCCAAAGCGGGCTCTGGGCTCTGAGCTGTCAGCACAGAGCCCAACGTGGGGCTCGGACTGACAAATGGTGAGATCATGACCTGAGCCAATGTCAGATGCTTAACTGACTGAGCTGCCCAGGCGCCCCAGCCATTCTAACCCTTTTGAAGTGTACAATTCCGTGGTTTTCAGCATATTCACAGCACTATGCAACCATCACCACTGTCCAATTCCAGAACATTTCTGCCCCCCCCCCCGCCAAATCCACATCTCCGAATCTTGCCTGCCCTCCCCCATCCCATAGTAACCACTAACCTGCTTCCTGTTCCCATGGATCTGCCAGGGTGCCGGCCCCTCTGATGTGGCATGACCTAAAGGGTTTGTCTGTGCTGGGGTGCGTTTCAGGATTTTGCTCCTCTCCTGGCTGAAATCCCATGTCACAGAGATCTCAGTAATATCTGCCAGCCTGTAACTTGCCCTTTGATTATCTCAGTGGCATTTTTTGATGAATGGAAGTTCTTCCTTTTAATGTACTCGCTAGTTTCAAATTTTGTGCAGATAGCACTTTTTATATCCTGTGTAGATCTTTGCCTCCCCCGGTCCAGAGGCGCCCATGTTGCTCTCCACTTCCTACTCTGCTCTTCTCACCAGATCTGCGTCCATCTGGAGGCATGTGGACAAGGGTCCGTGTTGCCATTACGTGTTTCCACATCACATGGCGGTACAGGGTCACCTCGTCAGAAGCCACAAGCGTGAGCATGTGTGTATGTGTGTTTGTGTGAGTGTGCATGCATGGGTGTATGAGCACAAGTGAGTGCATGAATGTGAGCATGTGTACCCGAGTGTGTGCGTGGGCGTGTGCACTAGTTTGCATATGAGTGCACGAATGTGAGCTTGTGCACGTGAGTGGGCAAGTGTTAGTACAAGTGTGCATGTGAGTGCATGGGCACGAGTGTGAGTGCATGTCTGCATGCGTGAGTGTGGTGCGAGTGTACATGTGGGTGCATGAGCATGAGTGTGCATGAGTGTGTGAATGTTAGCATGCATGTGTGCATGTGCAAAAGTGTGTGGATGTCAGCACAAATGTGAGTGTAAGCAAAAGCACATGAGTGCGTGTGTGAGTGCATGAGTGTGCCTGTGAGTGTCTGAGTCCCCACTCTCACCTTTGCTGCCCGCCTGCTCTTACCGACAGTGCTGTCCCCGGCAGCCTTCTCCAGATTGTCCGGCTGCGTTTGTGTGTCCAGCACCCATGCGAGTTTTTGGATCGGGCTTGTCAGTTTGCACCCGCGGCTGCAGGGACTCTGGGCCCCTCGAGGGAGAGCTCGCGCGTTGGCGGCTGTGAGCCGCTGGCCTGTGGGCATGTGCTGTGCACGTCTCAGCCCTCGTGCGTGCTTCACAGCAGAGCTTTGTGGTGTGACAGTCGTGTGTTCTCCTGGGCGACTTGTCCCCGTTGCTGGGTGTGGTTGGTGCTATTGTGAACCATGTTTCTTTGACGGTTCTTTCTGTTGGCTGCTCTCTTCTGTGTGTGGTTTTACTTTCTCAGAGTGAAAAACGTCTACCTCTTTCCGGTTGTTTTGTGTCACTAACACCTGAAGCTTTGCGTTTAACAGAACTGTCATTAGAAGCCTGAGTGCTAGCTCGGACCGCGTCCGGCTGGCACGGATGCGCTGGCACTTCCCTCTGGGGCCCTGTGTTCTCAGGGCCTCCCTCCCTCACTGGAGTGTCCTTCTCTAAGTGCTTTCAGTTGGAGACGGGAAGAGTTTTTACATTAACACATGACTTACTGCCATAGTTGGGCTGTTCACTGAGTCCAGGTAAAGAAAATCTATCACAAATATTTAAAATAAATTTTAAAAACTATTGTTGTTCAAAAATTTGAATGATTGTTTCAAATATTTAAATTTTTTTCTCCCTGAATGGTGGGTTCAACTAATGTTAGCTTCCTTGTGTGCATCTCGGCTCATCCCCACAGAGGCCCTTCTGGAGACGTGGAGATGGGCCTTCGCTGTGATAGTACAGCTGCCTTTGGGCATGAACCTGCCCTGAGCGGAGCTGTCGCTGGCGCACTGGAGAGTGATGTGCGGACCTTCCCTTCCGCCTAGGTCACAGAGCTGTTGGATGTGTCCATGGAGCTGGGCTGCTTCCTGGCCGGAGCGCTTATCTCTTCCCAGGGCCACATGGTCACCGAGGAGATCGTGTCTTACATTGAGCCCATCCGTGACTTCCTGGTTATCATTTTCTTCGCCTCCATAGGTAACCTTCCTTGTTTACGTCAGGATGTTTGCAGGGTGTTAGACACCCGCATGGGACTTCTGCAACCTGTTTATGTACATATTTCTATTTATGCAGCAAGAAGTTGCCATAAAAATTGGGGTCTGCGGAGAAATCTTATTAAAAAGAGGGAAAGTATGCACTTGGGGACATTGATTTGTTGACTGGCCGCCATGGTCTGGGGGCGCTCAAATGCCCTCGGGGGAGGGTGAACCCCACGTTGACTCCACGGAAAAGGCACAGGTGCCCAGCAGGTTAGCGAACTTAAAGGCAACACCCAAATGAGACATTTGGGAAGAAAGGTTACTGTTGATACCAAAACCTCGAACTGCCGTGTCGCAGTGCGCTGCTCTGGAAATGCCCCTTGGTCGAGGAGTGTCTCCATCGGGCACGTCCAGCACAGCACTGCCTTCTGCCCAGAAAGCTCTAGCACTGCATCTATACCCGCCACCGGCTCCGTGCAACCCCAGTAAGGCTGAGCGCGTCAAGAAGCACATCACAAAGTCTGCAGGGAAACTGAGAGTGGAGCACAGAGAGCAGGGGCCGCACGTCACTGCATAGCTGCTTTAGTGACAGTGCCCTCGCTGTTCCGAGAGAGGGCCCACTCGGCCTCCTTTCCCGTCCACCCCCCTCCCCCCCGCCCCGGCCATCTGTCCTGTGTCTGGTCTGTCTGTCCCTGTCCCTGTTTCTCTGTGTTTCTGTCCCTCTTGCCCACCCCCTTCACCACAGCCCCTTCTAGTGCCAGGCGGGCTCCGCTGTGCTGAGTGCTGAGTGATTACCTCCACCCATCGTTCCCCCAGAGGAGTGCTCGTGAGGTCGACAGGCACGAGCTCCCCTGATCAAGTTCCAGGCCACATTGTCCCGGGAGGACCCATCTCGCTGACACACGTGTCACTTGTGTCCTGCCTGCAGGGCTCCGTGCAGTGTGTCCTGGCTAGAAATGAAAATCCCGCAGGTGTGTTATCTAATAGACAAGCTTGCTCTACCCTTCCTCAGGTTAGGGCTCTTGACCTGCTGAGGACTGAGCTATCGAACCAGCCGCACGTGTTTTGCCTTGGTTCTTCACACCCAGTGTTGTCAAGGGGGTTCAGGCGACTGTCCTCTCCCCGAGAGGCCTGTGCACACGCAGGACCTTGCTTTTCCACTGCTCAGGACTGTCTGTCTGTCTCGGGCTCTAAGCAACACAGAAGTGGACCGTTTGAGACTATGTCTTTCCTTTTCTGCATTTTTGTACCTCAGTGATGTTCACGTGGACTAGGTCCCTGACCCCCTGCCCTATGGCAGGCCCTGCGGAGTCATGAGACCCCGTGGAGGGCCTGCCGGCTGCAGTCAGTCCCGGGCAGGGGGAGCGACCCTGGGATCCCAGCAGCACCAGCAGGAGCGCCGAGGGCCCCGGCCCAGCTCTGAGAAGAGGCCGTGTGTGAGCAGCGTGAGCAGAGAGGGGTGGCTTGGGTCCCAGCGTGAAGGAGGGCCCCCCGGCCTGGGTGCAGAGGTGGCATCCAGCACGGGCGCCCTGGAGGGGCAAGACCTCCGGCCGGAGACCCCAGGGGCGGAGACCGGCCTCTTCTCAGCAGTGTGGGTGCCCACCCTCACAGGACAGGAAGGCCCTAGGCCCACACACGGCCGGCAGGCAGGCAGGCTGTTAGTCTCTGTGTCCTCCTATGGAGCCTGCTCCTCACCCCCATCCGTCAGGCACCCAAATCACGCGTCCCTGAAATACTGCTGCACCCATTCCTTTGTATTAACGAGGTATTGGAGCCGTGACTCAGGCTGCCAAAATGGATGCCAGTGTCTGTGCGGCCTGAGGGAGCCTGCTTTATGGCCTGCAGACAGCTGCCTGCTTGCTGGGTCCCCATGTGGCCTTCCCTGGTGTGCAGTGTGCTTGGGGACAGAGACAGAAGCGGAGACCAAGATGGAAAGACAGAGGAATGGAGGCCGGCGGGGACTCCCGTGTCCTCCTCTTCTTCCCGGCACAGTCCTGCTGGGTCAGGCGTCCGCCCTGTGACCTCACGTCATCCCCTGCACCCCCTGGATGCCGTCTCTGGGCACGCTCATGTGAGGTTATAGCCTCAGCATGTGAATTGGGGGTGGCTCGGCTGTTCAAGCTCCAGAGGCAGAGTCAAGTAGGGCCGGTGAGCCTGCGTGGCCACCATGCCATCCTGCACGACCACCTCAACGGCTAATTCCCAGGCCCTTCTCGCTTTACAAACGAAGCCAGTGACCTGAGTTTTCTTGTTACACACTTTACAGCAAGGATTTCATTCTCTCCTTGGGTCCCCCTCCCTGGGATGCAGAGAGGAATTCAGAAGTGGGTACTGCCTGTTCCTCATTCTTGGAGGTGCCCTGGAGGCCATGGGCACATGTGGGGTGTGATGGCTCACGTGCGAGTTGACCACGTGCCACGTTCTCATTCATCCCCCAAATGCACATCTGCAGATAGAGGCCGGGAGGCGTGTGATGGGTGTGCAGAGCCTGTCCCGCTGTGCCATCCCAGGGACACCCTCAGCACTTGGTGGAAACGCAAATGATGAGTGGCTGTAAGCAGAAAAGCTACAGGACGACTGGTGTGCCCTCTTGTCACCAGTGCACACGGCAGTTGTGCCAACGTGGATTGGGTCTCTGTCCCTGAGCATCGTGTGGTCCTGTGATGATCCGTGTCTCCACCCTCAGAGTAGAACACCTCTGCTGTCTGGTTTGTGTGCCTGGGCTGGGTGCTCCCGGTGCAGCCGGGGCCCGCAGGGTCCGCGGCGCTGCACCATGTGCCTGGCATGGGACCCCACTTATCCTCGGGAGAGGGGAGGCCCCTGAGCTTTGAGGCAGGGCAGGGACACAACCACGTCCTGGGGGCGGGGGATGCAGGTGAGCAGGGACCACCGCTCCCTGGTCACATCCATGTGACGGGCTTGGTCAGGTGTGTCCCTCTGCGTTGTGGGCTTGTTTCCATCGGGGGTGTGTGGGTGGCAGCGTGGCGAGTATGAGGAACACAGGTACAGCCAGAGGTGGTCTTGGACTCACGGCGTAGGAGGGCTGGGGGTCGAGGACTCGGGAGACAGCTCGGTAGGAGAGAGGCCAGGTGTCCCCTAGGCAGTCGTCGGGGCTCGGGGAGCACTGTGGGTCTGGGAGGTGGAGGCTGGGCAGAGCCAGGAAGTGGGGGAGGAGGCTGGGGCTCCAGGCAGGTGCTCGACAGCAGTCCCCAGCACTGTGCTAGGGGCGGCCTGGGCGGGTGCTGCTGAATTTGGAGAAAGAGGAAACCGTTCTCGGAGCAAATGGGTCCTTACTTATATCTGTATCTCTGAGTAAAACAAGTAGACACATGAAGGGGCCACATGTGTCATGACATGGGGTCCATGCGCTCGTGAGGAGAAGGCCCAGTCAGCCCTGAGTTCCTCAGGGATGGGGGGCCGGGTACACACCGGTCCTGCCCGGCCGCTGAGTAAAGAAGGGCCCACCAGCACCCGTCCCTCGTCTCGGTACTGCAGGCACTGACGGCAGCAGGAGGAACATGTACGGCAGGGCAGCCGGCGGCCATGTGGCCAGGATTCCTCTCCTGTGGCTTCCCCCCCACCACCCCCAGTTTCTAGGCCCCGGGGGTGTCTGCATCTTGGACAGAACATTTTCACAGAGGAAAGCAGACTTCGCGGCTGCTTGCTGTCACTTTTTGCCGAGTCCTGGGAGAGTAGTCTGGTAGAGGGAGGCACTGGCGCCCGGGCCGCTTTCCCCACGGTGAACGCTGGCATAAGCCATAAACACAGGGCGCCGCAGGGTCGCGCTCACAGGTGTCCTCGTCCGTGGAGAGGACATGAGGAAGCCTGAGGGTCATGGGCTCCGCTGAGGACGGGCCGTGTAGTCCTCCGAGAATGACCGTGTCCCTCCTTCCCTGCACAGGCCTCCACGTGTTCCCCACTTTTGTGGCGTACGAGCTCACTGTCCTGATGGTCCTCACGCTGTCGGTGGTGATCATGAAGGTACTGATTCTTCTTTGCGGTAAAATTTCTGTCATGTTGGTTGTATGTGACCCTGAGTCTGCAAAGCGCATCACGGCCACTTACCTGGAGCCCCTCCCCTCGCCCAGCAGTCTGTGGACTGGGTGAGTTAGGACCAGGCCGTCGGGTTTGTTTTCCTACACCTGTCTCAGAACTGGGCATATTGGGAATTGGGAGTCACAAAAGCTGGACCAGGAGAAGGCACTCTGGGCGGCCCGTCTCCACAGGACCCTTGCTCCTGGCCTTTTCTCCTGCATGAGTCCAAAGACCCACAGGCCAGTGAGTAGCACGTACACATGTACATCTTGTCGTTCGTGTGTTTGGAAAGTATCGTTGTGTTTGTACTCACTGAGTGGGCTATCAGGAGAAGACAGGACTCAGGAACACCAGGTGGGAGAGACACACAGGGCAGGGAGTGCGGGACGGGGCTCAGAGCCCCCCGCCTGTGCCAGCCCCTTGCAGACCACAGTTCCCTCACAACCACAGATGATTGAGTTGTGTTAGCATTTATTTCAGGGTCCGATTACCTGTTCAGTAGCTGCCTGGCTCTGTGGATGATAAAAGTTGATTTCACATATTTCTACTGGAAGGAGTCAGAACCCCTGCTGGGCCTCCAGCCCCAGCTGCTCCCCCCTAGCTTTGCTTACAAGAGAGAGACCATGCTCTCATTGGAAAGTAAAATTCTTTCTTGAATGCTGCTGACTGGTGTGGGGGGAAAGCCTAGTTAGCTGCCCGTGAACCCCTACCCTTGATTGCGCATTTTTCAGCCTGGTCTCATTTCAGACACTCTGTGTTCATTGGGTGCCTCTGCACATGTCCCCTCGGTGTCAGGAGGGCCCCCCTCTGTTTTCTGCGTGGCAGTCAGTAATGCGGATGCTCTTGCAGTTTGCCCTGGCCGCCCTGGTCTTGTCTGTCCTCCTGCCGAAGAGCAGCCAGTACATCAAGTGGATTGTGGCTGCGGGGCTGGCACAGGTCAGCGAGTTCTCTTTTGTCCTGGGGAGCAGAGCACGCAGAGCTGGGATCATTTCTCGGGAGGTGAGTCCGCACACACCCTCTGTGCGTGTTTAGGGTGCCCCGTCCTTCACACCCCCCACGCTGGCATTTGAGCACCTTCCCTGCAGCTGCCTGCAGCTGGCATGAGTCTGGGGGTCGGCCTCTGGGTGGCTGCGGAAGTGGGGTCCTGCTGCCTCTCACACAGGTGTGCAGGTTTGGGGTCAAAGTCTCCAGAACTGTCAGCATGCCCTCTGCAGCAGAGACTGTGAAGTCTCTGTCATATCTCTGGCAAAAAGAAGAAAACTAAATCTTAAAGCGCCATCGCCAGTTTGCGTATTAGCAATGGCCTTGGTGCACGGCTATCAGCCAGGCTGACGGCCGTATCCTTCCTGATGCATGCGTGAGGGGTGTCACCGCATCTTGGGTTTCACTCAGAAACCATGTAAAAGGCACAACTGGAACGTTGTTTTGTGAAGGTACCCTGTTGGTTTAGGGGTTTTTCTTGCAAAGTACACGGCAGCATTTGCCCACTTGTAAAAGAGAGTGAGAGTCGCTGTCAGAAGTGCTTCTGATGAGGTCCCTCCTCCCCCTACCACAGTTTTAAGCGCATGCAGCCCTGGGCCTTCTGCGCAGCTCCTGAAGGTGAGCCCCCCACTTCCCATTGGCCTTCTTCGCCTCTGTCTCTGGTCCGTTCATCCTGGGCCTGGCTCTCTTGTGTGCCCTGTGCTGGCTGTGCACACGCCTGTGTGCCTGAGTTCCTGTGCACACCCACCTGATCCTGTGCGCTTTCCTTACTTTCTGTCCAGTTTTGTCATGTGCTCTTTTCAAACTGGCCGTGAATTAGAACTTGAGGAGTATCATCTGATGACCCGTGCTTGTCACTTTAAATTTGGCAAGCAGGATGTTTGTGTTTGGCTGTGGTCTGTGGGTGGTGGCCCCCCACCCCAGGGGTAAATAGGCCACAGTCTGTTGTCTGCCACGCAGGAGTTAGTGTCCTTCAGGACAGGGCCAGGTGACCAATTCAGTGTTAGCCCCAAGTGGTCTGAGGACAGGTGACGTGCTAACTAGGAACGTTTCACAACTAAAGTAGAGAGTCGCTGTTTGAGTAAAAGCCGGGTGGATGTTACAGGAACTTTGTTGTTGATGCAGGGATAAATGTCGGGTGACAGCGTAGAGGGAGCCTGGACCCCCTGCTCTGAACAGGTGGCTCTCTGAGAGATAGCCTGTGTGCTGTGGCCAGAAGACCACACACCTTTCACACACTCGCAGCCATGGGGACCAGCTCACATCTGTAGTTCTCAGCTTAGAAACACTGTGGTTTGTACACATACAAGTTCATGAATGGTAGTTCCTACTTAAACTTGATTTGACCCTTTACCCTTCTGCATCCGTTTTCATTTTGCCCTTTCTGATGCCTGTGCGAGCACGTGTGAACGTGTGGGTCTGTCCTTGAAGCCAGGACAGGAGTCTGCCTCCTGCCCTCAGTCTGCTGCCCCCCTTAACAGCGAGCACCCCTCCCTGGGGAATCCTGTTGCCAGTAAGCCTCGCCTCACCACGTGACACCCCCAGTATTCGCTTCTGCACACCTGCTCCCTAAATTGGGCCGAATGAATGTGGAAGTTCCTTTTAGTACCTGTGACCTGCTAGTAAACTCTCAGGATTAAAGTTGTCTCCTTATGTCTGTGAGTGTGAGGAAGACAGGATGAGTCTAGATACTGACACCGCTGTGGAAGAATGAACTCTGCACAGGCTCTGTCCGAGACCTGTCCTGAGGCTGCGTGCTCCCCGTGAGAGCCTCCAGGGGGTCAGCCCGAGGGTGACCCAGTGTGCACCATGATGCATCATCTCAGGGCACCTCACATCCAAATCTACCTGTGCCTGTGGCCATACAGGGTGTGCAGGTGCACCTTGGTCCTGAGTGTGACCACACCAGCCTTACCTGTTGCAAATGTACTTCCTAGTCTTGAGTGTGACAGTCTTACTTGTTGCAGGTGTACCTCCTAATCCTGAGTGTGACCACCCTCAGTCTTTTACTGGCCCCAGTTCTGTGGAAAGCCGCAATCACAAGGTGCGTGCCTCGGCCAGAGAGACGGTCAAGTCTTTGAGGCACCAAGAGGGTACACAGCTTCAGGAGCTGACCCCCGTGTGAAACCGGACACTTGGGACACGTCCAGGACCGCACGTCCCCGTGAGCCCCTTGCCTCGGGGACAGAGCGCTCCATTGGAGGGGGCTTCCTGTCTGCCCAGTGTGACAACTATTACTGCTATGGTTTCGAGACTTCCAGACTAATTTGTTACATTCAGTTGATCATGCACAGTATATAATACACGCTGCACCTTACGGATCACCGTGACTCTTCTGCCTGGATGTGCCTTTTTTCCTGAAGTTAATGTTAACTTTCTATTGTCAATTCATCAGTTCATGATTTTTTGGTAAAAAAAAAATCAGAAGGGTTTTTATTTATTTAGCTTTTGTGTCATAATCTGTTGGTCATTATTCATGATTAAACATTTCTGTGATGTGCAATTTTAATTCTAGCAGTGAGTTTGGAAAGTAAGTTTAATCCTTACTGCCTGTGTTTTCTAAAATGACAAATACCTTCTAAATGTCTATTTGTTTTTATTACAATAATTTTAAATAAAACACTCATGTCATTTTTTAAATTAGGTATATCATTCTTTTAAAATAATTGTTTTGAAAAAAACATTTGTTTTGAATCACAAGAATATGCATGCTTTAATAAAGATTATTTATGATCAGAGTAATTAATTGAAATTTATTGGAATTTTTTTAGATTTCTGTGTTAGATTAATCTTTGCCAATTCTTAAAAATTTGGATGATTTGTATTTTGCCACATTATTCTCTAAGAGACCAAATTAATACAGTGCTATTTGCAAAACCTAAGTTGTACCTTTGAATTTTAAAGTGTATTTGGTGATTGTATGCCCCGTTTCAGCAAACCCATGGCTGAAGACCTGATTCTTACAGATCTCCCTGAGGGGAGCTCAGAGTGGAGTGTTCCTAGAACTGTTGGCTTTAAGAGCCTCACAATTCGACCAAAACCCTTGGAGTACAGGGACAGACCCCTTAGGTACAATTCTGTGTCACAGGTACAATTATGGAGTGCGGTGACATAAATTCAAACACTTGAAGGTGAAGTGAAGTTTATCTAGTCGGAAGTGAGTCAGTGGAGAAATGATGTAAACATCTGCCTTGAAAACAGCATTGGTTTTATTTATTTCTGTGTTGTAGTAGGTGAGTGCCACTCCCTCCGGACCACTGGTGTGGACACGGCACAGCAGGCTCATCTGACGGTTTGTGAGGCTTTATCTCACCTGTCCGCGTGCCTCTGGCCCAGCAATCTGGAATCCACCAAGGGCCGGTCTCTGGGGTGCGTTTTATTCCATTTGATATCTCCAGCACCCAAGAGCAGAGCCAGGAGCTCACCACATCTTGTTGACAGTTTGGCCCCAGAACATGGCATGTGGCGCTAATGTCACAGCATGAGAATGGCTCATAAAGATGCCAACAGGACATGCCTCCTGAAGACCTCTGCCTGCAGGACACTCTCCTTGGAGGGTCCCAGAGCCCCTCCCTCCCCCCACCGGATTGGGTCCCATGCTCACTCTCCCTTCCTCATCCGGACTTGCAGGGCACAGAGCTGTTGGTCTTCACACGCACCCCTTGGCCTTCACACACACCCCTGCAGACCGCCTGTGTGCGTGGGCGTGGCTAGAAAGTGTGGGGCAAGTCCTGCCGTAGAGCTCTGTAGAGCCACAAAGAACGAAAGCCACCAGCTGAAAGCAAGTGCCTCATTGGGTCCCCTGCATGCTCACCTGGGTGGTCAGCGGGCACACCCTGAGCTGTAGCCCGACACTGCTGACCCCCTGTGTTCCAACCTGCTGGCACCCGGAGGCCTTCCTCCCCGTGGGCCTGAGCGCCGCCCCCTAAACCTCCGTGACAGGGCGAGGTAGACCCCTCCCTCGGTCCGCAGGGCCCAGAGCCCCACACGAAGAATTCCTCTCAGCCTGAAGGAACCCACGGGATGGCGTGCAGCACCGGCACCGGCACCGTGTCCCCTCGCGGAGGAAGGTGAAGACAGCGCACCTCTCCTGGGAGGTCAGTGGGGAGAGGAGCTTGCATTGATTTGCTCACACGACAGACACAGGTGAGCCTTCGTGAAGCACGGCCCACGCACATGGCAGGCAGGGAGGTCGCAGGTGGAGGCAGAGCCTGGCCCGTGCAGGAGACACGCCAAGGAATGGCCAACGACACCCAGGAAGCGGGCAGGTCGGAGCGCCTGGGGGAGGCGCGAGGGCGCGGGGCTAGCAGGTGCTCAGTGGACAGAGGTCAGCGTGCGGGGCGCCTCCCCCACAGGCCCTGGCCACAGGCCCTGGACGTGGTGCAGCAGAGTGCCCCTGGCGTCGCCCTCGGAGCATGAATCTGTGGTTGGAGTGGCCGAGCGCCAGACCCCAGGCAGCGAGGCAGCGAGGCTTCGCGGCTTCACGTCCTGTGGGAGGGCACAGAGGCGACCGGCATCTGCTAAGGACACAATGTCTCCTGGGCCCCAAATGGTCCTGATGTGCCGGAGCCGAGGATGGGGAAGGTGAGGCAGGCTCCGGAGCAGCTGCAGGGCACGTATGGCAGCGCTGGTGCCGGGAACCCGCGGGGCACAGGCACGGTAGAGCTGTGGCCTGGGGTGAGGCCAGGGCCCCCCATTGGGCATGTGCAGGTGGTGGTTCCTCCGGGAGACCGGCAGGGACAGGCATTCGAGGACACTCATGTGACGGTGAAGAAGGAGAGGCCAGGGCAAGCGGGCTCTGTGGGGTGGGCGACTGCTCTGGTGTCCGACTCTGGAGCTCTTGCTGGCTCCCCGGCACCCCTGGGGCATTGCTGCTGCCCGGCCTTGGCCTGAGGCCTGAATGTCGGGAGGCCCTTCCATTCCGCCCAGTCCAGATCCCGTACATCTGTCAGCCGAGACCCCAGAGCCCCGTGCTCCTCCTCTGTGATCGCAGCCCCGGCCCCGCCATACGTCCTCAGCCATCTGGGAAATTGCCAGCACCCCGCCCGCCCGGGGCCGCAGCTTCAGGACGCCTTGTGCAGCTGCACCTGCGCCAACACTTGGCTCCAAGACTGGCGGTGGAAAGTCCATGCCCCTGTGCTCGCAAGATGGATGGAGAAATCAGCTGGGCCCGTTTCCATCATCTCTTCCAGGAAGAGCGAGACCTGCCTTTCCCTGAGAGCAAGCAGGGCCTGGTGTCCTCACTGCTGTCCCACTGGTGTCCTTGCTGACGTCCCTCGCCTGGTGAGAGGAGCCCTTTGCTTTGCTGGGTTTAGGGATGGACGGTGCACATGAGGGATGTGCTGAAGGGTCGAGCGGCTGTCGGCCGATGGCAGGGCCCCGGCCCCACCACCCCAGGGGCTCATGAGGGCTCCAACTGAACCCTGACCCTGACCTTGCTGCCTGCAGAGCCTGCCCACACCTGCCTTTGCAGCATGAAGAATCAAGAAACACTGCATGTTGTTTAGGAATTTGGGGGAAACACGCCTGGGGAAGGCTGGTGGCAGGCCCTTCTAGAGGAACCAGCTTCACCCACATCCTCTGTGCTTGCAGTGAGGACACTTGCTGCCTTTACAACCTCCCGTTAGGGCCACTGGGCGGCTCAGGTCACAATCTCAAGGTTCATGGGCTCAAGTCCTGCCTTGGGCTCTGTGCTGACAGCACGGAGTTGGGATTCTCTCTCTTTACCTCTCTCTCAGCCCCTCCCCTGCTGGCTCGCTCTCGAAATACGAAAATAAACATTAAAAGTAATAAAAAATATATAAACCTCCTGTCAGAAGCTGTTCCTCACATTCAGGCCATGTCCGTGTCGTGTCTGCGTAGGCGTGGTCGCCACAGGAAACCATGCGGCTGCCGAGGCGCCCCTGCCTCCCGGGCCCTGCAGAGTTCACCACGTGCTCGCTTCCTTCCCTGAGGCGCGAATGCTCTCGCAGAATCGCTACTTGCTGTGGTCTTTTTCTCGACCATGATTCTGACTCATCCTGATGCGGAGTTTGATGCAGACATTCTCACTGCCCTGACTGTCCCTGCCTAGAAGACACTGCCAGTGTCACCTCCAGTTTCCCAACATTGTCCTGTGGAATAGTTTGGGAAACGCTTAGCCAGGGAGGAGGCAGGGGTTCCTCATGCAAGGTGTCAGGGATCCTTGACTTTGGCAAGCAGACACGGAATTGCAGCTGTGCGTGCAAGTGCGTGCCCAGGTGTGCGCCCAGGTGTGTGCATGCAGGTGTGTGCCCAGGTATGGGCTCAGGTGTGCATGCAGGTGCTTCTCAAGCAGCCATGTCAGTGTTTACCTGGAGGCGGTCAGTCTTCATGAGTCACCTCCTCCACAGGAAGCCCCCAAACCACAGAAGATTCTCTGACAGTTTATCTGAGATACTAGTTCCGAGGCAGGGGTAAAGTGGCCTAAGGAGCGACCTGAAAGCACGTGACCTCGGAAGGGGGTCCTTGAGCCAAATCTGCGGTATGTGTGGCTACAGTGCAAACCCGTCAAGACGTTACGCAGGGGCCTGTGTTGCCCAGTGGCTTCCGCAAGTTTAGGAGAACTGAGGACCGTGCAGCGTGGCCCTGTCCAGACCGAATCCAGACCCAGTCCAGATCGGTTGGGGATGGGGCCCAACGGCTAGTGTCTTGAACAAGCTGTCAGGTCATGTAGCAGCTGCTGCTGGTCCGGGAGCATGCGTGAGAGACAGCAGTCCAGCCCACGGTGCCCTCGCTGGGCCTTCGCTCACTGCACGTGTAACCCCAGATGGCGAAGATAGAAGTCTCTGAGCCAGGAACAGAGTTGGGAACAGCTATTGCTGCTGTACTGGGCTCCAAGGACCACTGGACAGCGTCTCCAAAAGAGACCTCTGGTGGAGAAGGCAGCCCCCCGGGCAGATTGCAGCCACGGGGGTGTGCACACCCAGCCAAGAAGGTGCTGTCGTGGGGCCTTTGGTTCCATTTTATACATGCGTGTCATGCGTGTGTTGGCCAGAGAGTTTGAAGCTACTGGTGTAAGGAAGAGGGTTCAGGAGGGCAGAAAGTGGGTGCTTCCTGGGGCAGGGGGTGGCCATGGGGCCCCGGGAGCAGCTGGGGGAGCTCAGGAGACCCTGGCTTCCAGCACCTTCTGCCCCGACTGGACACCAGGTGGTCACCATGGTGACTGTCCAGAGCAGAGAGGGAGGCTGGGTGCTTTTCAGGGAGTGCCCACATGTCCCATCTGGACTAGGGTGCCAGGGCGCAATCTGCACACTGGGGGAAACACCAGGTGCCAATGCGAAGCCATGGAGCTGGAGTCTGTTTTGAGTACCCAGGTTACTTCATGATTTATGAATAAAATAAAGTGAGATCTGGAGAAGTAACCCCAGAACTTAGCATCCTACACTGGGGAGGTGCGGTGGGCATGGGGAGAGAAGAGAGCGTTTACGAACAAAGGGCTGCCTTACTGGAAAATGAGAAGTGTTTGAAAGGGGGGCGGTCACTTCAAGCGATGCGCAGAGACCTGGCGTGCCCGTGGGAGTGACCCGTGGGAGGCGCTTCTACGGCCGTGCGCTGCTAGCCCAAACCCGCTTTCAGGGTGCCAGAGTTGCCTCAGCACGTCTCCCTCACATGGGGAGCTGGACAGTGTTTTGAGATGTGTTTCCTCACCTAGATTCCTTTCCTTCCCTCGAAATGGACTCCAGCGTCTCAGGATGGATCACAGTGGCCCGGAGGACAGAATCGGCCTGCGCGTCTTTCTGACGTTGTACAAAAGCCAGGGCCCTTATGAGAATTCTTTTTGCCAAGAAGGGAAATGGAAGGCAAATTTGCAAAATGAGGCAGAAGCGAGAGAGCAGGCGAGAAGGAGGCGGCTGGTGGGCCGGGGGACAGTGCGCGGGCTGGTGGATGGAAACGGCCTGAAGATAGGCCCGCTGCAGGCAATGGACGCCCGGTCTCAGCCCCCGGCCCGTGGGCCAGGGATCCTGCCATTCTCAGGGACGGCGGGGTGCTGCCTGGAGAGCAGGGCGGTGCGGGCACTCCCTTCCCGGGGCCAGGCTCGCCTCCGAGTTCTTTTGGTAATTGCAGTTTTCCCGCCAAACCTTTACCTGAAATGTGAAAACCAGACATGCGTCGTAGAGAAAGGAATACGCGACGTCAATGGACAAAGACGGACACAACCTGGTAGGATCGGAGTGGGGCGCAATCAGAAATGACAGTTGGGTGACAGTTGGCAAGATGTCGGGCCTCACTCATGGTTTGAGGTGGTGAAGCCTGAGCCGGCCAGCTCTTACGTTGCTCTAACGTTGCTGTGCCTTCAGCGAGGCCACGCGCCCTCCATCAGCGAAGCTGGGACCCTGTCAGCCTTGGCACCAGCACTGGGAGCCAGAGCGAGGCCGCGGGGGGAGCGGGCCGGGCACGCTCCGCTGGGGTCGTCACCTCCATCTGTGCCGCAGACTTAGTCCTGACCGCGCTCTGCATTGCCACCCGACCCCACAGACCTCCAGAAGTTTCCTGCTGCAGCACCACAAGAGCGAAATTTCATGGCTGCACGAAGGAGAGTGGACGACGCCCTTTTTCAGATTTCCAAGTCCACGCCTCTTCCACAGTCTTTTCCAGAATCTGAAGAAATGAGAGGGCCATCCGTGCGAGCTGACATTCTCCCTCCTCTCACAAAAGGAAAGCAGCAGGTGTGTGGAACATGAGTGTCTCTTCGGGTTTTGATCTCACACGCTCCCATGACGTTTTGTGGGACCACAAACAACTCCGTGGCACTGCCATGAGTCTTGAGTGGCAGGCACCGAAAACCCACAGCTCCACTTCTTCTCCCGGGTATCTTTGACCCACTTAGCAATTCCAAACTACCTGCATTTGCCATTTATGGCAGAGTCTAATTGCACATCGCTTAATGCTGGTGGTTTTTGATTGTCTTCTGTACATATTCTGGTCCGACCCCCACAGCTGGACCAAATCCCCAAGAATTGAAACCCCCAGAGGGGGAGACAAGGCTGAGGGTGCCGCTCTTTGCCAGGCCACTGAGGTGACCGAGTATGCCTGTCCCTGTCCTAGGTTGAGGAATGGCATGGCAACTTCATTAGGCCTGGACCCTCGCTTCTCCCATCTGGTCGGCTCCGGCCTCGGCGCACTGCCCGGTGAACCTGCTGGGCTCAGCCCACATCAGCTCGGCTCACGCCCAGAGGCTACGTGCTGTGTCCATTCCTGCCCCTGTCCTGCCACACCCTCCCATTGCAACAGGGGTTTTAAAAAATATAAGCCAGGGGCGCCTGGGTGGTTCAGTCGGTTGGGCGTCCGACTTCGGCTCAGGTCATGATCTCACGGTTTGTGAGTTCGAGCCCCACGTCAGGCTCTGTGCTGATAGCTCAGAGCCTGGAGCCTGTTTTGGATTCTGTCTCCCCCTCTCTGTGCCCCTCCCCTGCTCCTGCTGTGTCTCTGTCTCTCTCAAAAAATAAATAAACATTAAAAAAATTAAAAAAGTATATATATAAGCCATTTAACCTAAAGGCACTGCCAGTGGCCACAGAAGGGACCCTGGCAGCAGCCACAGGCGTGGTGACACAGGAGAGAACACTTGTGCCCACACTCGTGCCAAGGAATAAATACGTGAGCACCTCCTCTTCCAGGAGGACCTCCACCAGCAGGTAGTGGGGGCGGGAAAGAGAAAGCCGCCACTGTTGGACACTAAACCAGAGGGGATAGTGTGAGCATATGGCAGCATAGCCAACCCTGAGTCGTCTGGCCAGACAGACTCACATTTCTCCCGGGAGAAATGTTTTCACCTTGCTGAGGGAGCCCACGCAGCAAGTGTCCTGCGCGGTCTGGCACCAACCATACTCGGGAGGCTGGTGGGCATTCCAGCTCCTGGGTACCGGCTGGCTTGCAGCCCTAATGTCGCCTCCTCCGTGCTGCTCATCCACATCTTCCGATTTACTTAAAGTCAGCAAACTCTTTCTCTTGCATGGGACAGTCTGTGTGGACATGCAGACCAACCGCCAGGGCACAGCCTGAGAACGGCCCTCTGTAGAGAAGTGTGCACGCCAGAGAGCATTGGGCTGTTCCCAGAGACATGCAACAGAACCCGTGGAGGGAACAGAGGAGCAGAAGCAGCTGGCTGGAGACCCAGATAGTGCCCTGTGTGACGGGGAACCCAGAGGTGTCTGCGCTGGAACATCAGAGCGGAGGCTGCCTGCTGGAGGGCAGGATGATGCCCCAAAGGTTTTGTGGGAAGGACTGTGTCCCCAGCTGGTCTAATCCAGTGACTGGTGTCCTATAAGAAGAGGGACATTTGAACAGAGGCAGCGGGACCTACAAAGGGAAAAAGGCAAGTAGCAGAGAGGGGGTGATGGGACACCACGGCCCACCGTCAGCCCGGGGGAGGCTGGAAGAGGCAGGAAGAACTCTCCCCTAGAGCTTGCAGAGGGATAGCTGGCCAGGGACGCCTCCATCTGGCACCCTGGCTGGCCTCTAGCCCTGGGAGGAACTAGATTTCTGTTGTTCTACGCCGCCTGGTTTGTGGTGCCTTGCTTCCGTGGTCCGGGGACACTGACACAGGTTTCTTGTGCCGGCTCAGGAATGAGGACTCGCTCTGGTGTGGCTGCAGGGCTTCATGAGACACTGTGTAGCACGACCAGGGACAGCCCTTGGGCCGGTCACCTGCAGGCCCAGCTGGAGAAGCCCCGCCCACCCCATGTGGGTCTGAGACTGTGGGACCTGGCACCTGTGCTGCCCTGGGTGGGGCGGGGCTTCGGGCGGGGCGGGCCTTCCCGGAGAGGAAAGGGCCTCGGCCGGGGCGGGGCTTGGGAAGGGGGTGGGGCTTGGCCTGGAGTGGGCGGGGCTTCGCGGGGCGGAGCGAGGCCCCAGTAGGGGCCGGGCTTAGGGCTGAGCGGGACCTGGGATGGGGGAGGGACAGTGGCGGGGCCTCTAGAGGCGCGGGGCTTGGGACGGGGCTTCGGGTGAACGTGGCAGGGCTCGGATGGGGTCTGGGCCTCGAGCAGAGGCGGGGCCAGGGTGGGGTGGGGCGGGGCCGGATCCCGGCTGGGGGCGGGGCCGGGGTCAGGAGACCCGGGGACCCCAGGTCCCGGGGCCGGTGGGCCGGGCCTCCTTGGGGCCGCTCCGCGCGCCAGCCCCCCCAGACCAGAGCCCGCGGCAGCCGACCCGCAGGTGAGCGCAGGCAGGCGGACGGTGAGCGCGGTCGGCGCGCTGGTTGACCGGGTCCCCCCAGCTTGGCCAGGACGCCCCTATGCTTCTGCCGCCTTGCCCCCCCCCTACCACCCCAGGCAGGCGGTTTAGGAAAAGTTAGACCCAGTGACAGAGCCCAAAGTTGTGCGTTTCTGCGGGTCGAAGTGTGTGCGCGGGGAGGTAGGTACATGGGCGGTGGCGGACAAATGAGCAGGGAGACGATGAACGTGAGTAGAAGGTCAGAGGCGGACAGAGGACGGTGCGCGCCCGCGGATGGACAGGGATGGGTGACAGGTGGACGGCAGACGGCGGCCTGCGAGCACGCGGCCTGCGTACGTACGCCTAGCCGCTGACCTCTGGGCCCCTGCACACCACTCACCGCGCGCACAGCACGCTCGCGGCTGACCCGGGGCTGGCTTGGGCTGGGACAGCCAGCACTGTGCCCAGGAACTCGCATTAGAGATTCTCACGTTCCTCGTTTTAGAGTGGGCCGTGTTGCGGCTGGTGGTCAGCGTCAGAGCCGGGGTGGGGGTGGGGGGCGGGGAGGGCGGGGCGTCTGGGAGGCCGGGTCCTGGACTGTAGTGGGGTATAGCTGGGTCTCCGTCCATCCGCTCGGAGGCCTGAGGCCGCAGGGGTGGGGCGGGCAGGTGGGCGGGGCCGCAGGAGCAGGAGGCCGGCTTGCGCCTCCGGTGCAAAGTTGTGATTCCTGCTGTGTATAGACTGTCCCTTGCGGCGTGAATTAAACCTCTTGGAATTAAAAATGAAAATCATTAAACACTGGTTAGAAGCGAACGCGGCATGTGGCTTCACCAGAGTGGGTGTGGGAGGCAGGAAACAAGCCCAGCGTTCGCTCAGCGCAGGCGGAGACTCCCAGGGTTCTCTTCTAGTGAGAACACATGACTAATAGCATCTTACTTTATTATTGTATTTGTGGATTTAAAAAGGCACCTCTATTTCCCTCAATGGCTTAATGCTCAGAGCACTTTTGGAAATCCCTGGGAGTTCTCTAAATGAACTTCAGTGATCTCTGCTCTAGGCCCATGCCAGGCAAGGAATTTTCATTTTGTTCCACAAGGTTTGTGATAAAATGTGAGAGTTAAAAAGAAGAGGGAGGAGGAGCAAGGGGAGAGAGAAAAGCTATTACGAAATAGCAACACTCTGGGCCATCACGTTTCCACCTCAGCTTCAGTGATGTTGGACATTTGCTCCTCCTTTAGCCAATGTGCTAGTGTAGGCTGCTGTGCAGGGTTCAGATACCGGCTGCTCGAATTCTGGTCCCTGGTCAGGGTTCAGGTTGGTCTAGAATTGAGGTCAGGGCTCTCGGCCCTCTCCAACACATGTCACGATCTCTTACCTGCCACAGGAACAGCCACCATCAGTCACGTGTGGGAGGGTGGAAACACCAGTTGGGTCTGGGTCTGTAGCCAGGTCTGAAGGGACAGTTGCTGACGAGGGAGAGGGGCCTCCTGCTCACAGCCTGGGGCTCCAAGACCATTGTCAGCAGGCCTGGTTGGGGGGGGCATCCCCACTCACCAGCCCTGCTGGGTCCAGGGACTCTAGTGGCATAATCTACCAGATGCGATGTGGACAGAGTGACACAGGGCAGATGAGTTAGAGGTTCCCTGAGAAACCGTTTTGCATCCTTACTGTCCTGCTGGGGGTTAGGTGGGTTAGCATTCACGTTGTTGTTGCCACCTGGACCATTGCAAATCGGAGAAAGGGAGAGAACACTGGGCTCTGCTTGGTTATGGGAGGTACCACCCCTCCCCCCAGCCCCACCTGACCTTGACCTGGTGCCCCAGCTCCACTCCCCAGCACAGCATCTCTCAGCACCAGCAGGAGTGGCCCCCGAAACGGGTCTGCTCTCCACTGGTTTCCAGTTTGGCTCCATTGTGGCCTTCTTTTCCTGTGTCCCCAGCAGGACAGGTCTCAGCTCTTTGAGCCAACAGCCCCGGTGACACCCACACAGGCCCCCAGGTCCTGGGCTGCTCCACGGCACAGCCCGGGGCTGGCCTGCTGAGGGCATTTCCTTTCTCCACTGCAGATTCCTCATCAGCCAAAGGAGCTCGTTAGAGGGGACAGTTCGCCGCCGCTGTGGGGAGTCTTCTCTCCTGTAAGGACACCAAAGAGGAACGGAGCACACGCTGGAGGCAGGCAGTGTCAGCAGAGAGGAGTCTCACACCCACGCGGGGCAGCAGCGGCCGGGCAGCAGGTGGGCCTGGGGGCTGCTACCCCTCTGAGGCCAGAGCCTCGGGTTCCTGCAAGCAAGCTCTGGATGCAGGCCTGTGGGTTTTGAACGTTGGCAACGTTCTTTGCTTTTTGTTTTGTTTTTCCTTCTTAATCTTGGATAGGGCCAACCGTCAGTTTCCAGCCTTCATACTAGGAGACGTTTTCTGGATTTTTAAAACTAAGATTTTGTTTTATATGTTTATATGGAAATACAGAAAATACCAAAAAAGGGAGACAGTTATTAAGGGAGTCACTGCTTAATAAAACCATATAAAGTAAGAAGGGAAACAGTCCCAAGGTCTCCTTCGAGTCTCTGGTCTGACGGAAGGATGGGGACCGAGGGAGAGAGCAGGGCCAACTTAGGCTGAAATGGTCCCAGAGGCCAGAGCGTGCAGGGCCGAGTGGGCGGAGGTCGGGTTAAAGTAGCAGAGATCTCTTGGGCGTTGGCCCTCAGGTGAGAGCCCAGGTTAGTCACGACCTTTGTCTCTGCAGCAGCCGCGCTGAGCTCTGCTTGACTCGTTCCATTTGTCCACGGAACATAATTACTAGTATGACCTCACCCCGTCGAGGACAGACATCTCTCCAAGTAGCTGCTCCCCCATGGTTGGTGCTTACCGCCCTCTTTACCCTTTCCCTTTTGTTTCCTCCCATACATCCTATGTACACGTGTGCTTTTAGTCTTTTCTTGTTCTAAACTGCGTGAGCAGCATACGGTGTCATGTGTGTGCGTGAGGGACACTCGACTTCACTCATTTTCACAGGTGTTTCTTACTCTGTTGTGGGGTACGCCTCACTGTTTATTGGGACTCCTGACGCTGGACATTTGAACCGTGTTTGGCTGTCAGTGTAAACACTGGTGCTGAGCATGCCCCCCGGGACACATTGGGAAGTGGCATGGCTGGGCAGTAGCGTGTGGAGACGCTTCACCTAAGAAAATAATGCCAAATTATCCTCAAAAGTGATGGCATCAATTTTACACCCTACTTGCTGGTCCACAGACTTTCCAATACTTGCTCTCATCAGACTTCATAAGATTTGCACATCAAGTGAGAATACACTGATTTCTGTCTGTGGCTGGCCTTCATTGGCGTTTCCCTGACAGTTAACGAGACTGAGAATCAAATCCCATGTGCACGTACTGGCAAACCTATGATACTGTCTCTGCCAAACCGTGAGCAGAGCAGACCCTTCCCTTTACTTAATTCTTCTTTACTTTTTGTCGACTCGTGTGAAGAAGTCTTATGTATTTTTTTTGTTAGATTTATTCCTAGGTAGTTCACATTTTTTGATCTCTTGCTAAATGGCATTTTGAAAACCTTTTTATTGTAGTATCACATACGTACATAAAGGGTGAAAAGACCAGGAGTTCACAGCTTAATGAATTTTCACTGAACCTACACCCAGATCAGGAAGCACAACCTTATCAGCACCCAGAGCCCCCCTCCTGTCCCCCCACCCCCCGTGTCCTCTTGCCCACAAGTAACCACAGGCGACCTGGGTTCAGTTGCTCGCTTGGTACTTTATAATAATGGACTCATACAAGATGCAGTCATTTGTGTCAGCTGACTTTTGATCAAAGCAGCGTGAAGGATTGGACCCAACTCTCGCCCGTGGCCACAGACCTGCCTGCCAAGTGTGACTCCATCACAGCTTTCCTTTCCTTTCTACCGCAGGGGCACCCAGTAGGTGCCACCGGGGCCATCACCCACACTGCTCCTGTGAGCGTCGCATAAGATGCCTCCTGATGGACATGCACCCTCACCTTTCTCGGGTACATTCTGGGACTGCAGTTGCCGGATCACAGCACTTGTACGCTTGACTTCATTAGAAAATGCCGATCAGTTTTCCAAAGAGAGTTTAACATTTCCTGCAGCAGGTATGACAGTTCCAGCTGGACCACATTTTGGCCAACAGTTCTTATTATCAATCCCTTGGTTTTGGGTGTGAAATGGTACCCTACTGTGGTTTAATTTGCATTTTCCTCATTGCTAAAGAAGTTGTGAACATTTCACATGCTTCTTAGCCGTTTGGATTTCTTCTTTAACACAGTTAAACATAGTTCAAGTCTTTTGACAATTTTAACAGAGTTCTTTTTGTTTTACCTATTGATTTGGCATTGTTCTTTGTATATTCTGGATACGAGTTTTTTATTAGATCTACTGTTGGGGTGTCTGGGTGGCCTCAGTCGTTTAAGTGGCCAACTCTTAATTTCAGCTCAGGTCATGATCCCACGGTTCATGGTGTTGAGCCCTGTGTCGGGCTCTGCACTGGCAGCTGGCAGCGCAGAACCTGCTTAGGATTCTCTCTCTTTCTCTCTCTGCCCCTACCCCCGTCAGAATAAATAAATAAACTTAAAAAGAAAGATATATCTACTGTGAATATTTTCCCTAGTCTATAGATGTCTTTTAAACTTGCTTTTAATGAGTGAGAGTTTTAAATTTTGATAAAGAGAGAAAGAAAACAAAACAAGAAAGAAAGAAAGAAAGAAAGAAAGAAAGAAAGAAAGAAAGAAAGAAAGAAACGAAGGAAGGAAGGTATAAAGATTGGTAAGAAAGAAATGAAGCTTTCTTTGTTTGCAGATTACATGATTGCCTATGTAGCAAATCTGAAATAGTTGCCAAAAAATTCTGGATTTAATAAGCAATTATAACAAGATTACAGGATACAAGGTCAGTATACAAAAGTCAATCACTTACCTCTATACCAGCAATGAACAAATGGAGTTTGAAATAAAAAAACATAATATCAGTTACATTAGAACCCCAAAATGAAATACTTAGGTATACACTGAACAAAGTTCATGTGTAAGATCTGCATGAGAAAAACTATAAAACTCTGATGAAAGGTAATCAAAGAACTAAATAAATGGGGAGATAGTCCATGTTGATGAAACGGAATTCACAACGTCAGCATGTCGGTTTTCCCCAGCTGTCTCTATAGATTGAATGCAATCCCGATCAAAGTTCCAGCAAGTTTTTGTGCAGATATTGGCAAGCTGATTCTAACATTTATATGTACAGGCAAAAGGCCCCATAGCCAATACACTATTAAGGGAGAAGAACAAAGTTTGAGGACTGGCAGTGTCCAACGTCAAGACCTACTGTAAAGCTACAGTAATCAAGACTGTGTGGTATTAGCAGAAGAATGGACAAATAGATCAATGGGACAGAATACAGAGCCCAGAAATAGACCCCATAAATAAGTGCAGCAGATTAGCATAATGAAAAGATGCTCCACATCACGTCATTAGGGAATTATAAATTAAAACAAAGAAAAACAACAGTGAGATTCCAGGGCACACCTGTTAGAACAGCCAGAGCCTGATGCTGACAACGGCCGTGCTGATGAGGACACAGGACTGTCATTCACTGCTGGCGGGAAAGGTGCAGCCGCTTTGGAGGACGGTTTGGCAGTCACAACACTAAACATACTCTCACCATACGCCCCAGCAACCATGCTCCTTGATATCGACCCAAATGGGCTGAAAACATGTCCACACAATAATCTGCATGCGCATGTTTATAGCAGCTTTATTCATAATTGCAAAACCCTGGAAACAACTAAGACATCCTTCAGTAGATGAATGGATAAACAGATTGTGGTACACTGGAGGAAACTTACTTATTGCTAAGTGAAAGAAACCAGTCTGAAAGGCTACGTAGTATATAATTTCAAGTATGTGACATTCTAGAAAAGGCAAAACTGTAGACAATAAAAAGGCCGATGGTTGCTGAGAGTTAGTGGGCAGGAAAGACAGAAGCTGTTTAGGGCAGTATCAGTATGATTCTATAATGGTGGACACATGCCATACATTTGCCAAAACCATAGAATGTCCAACACCAAGAGTGAACCCCAACATAAACCATGGACGTTGGGCGATCATGCTGTCAATGTAGGTTCACTCACTGATTATAGCAAAGGTACCACTCTGGTGCAGAATTTGGATAGTGGGAGGCTGCGTGCAGGTGCAGGGCAGAGGGTATCTGAGAACTTTCTGTACTTTGTGCTCAGTTTTGCTATGAACCTAAAACTGCTCTGAAAGTGAAATCTCCCCCCATCAAGTTTTTAATTTCTTCCAAAATAATGCTGAAATTTTGACTGAGATGACATTGAATCCATAGATTAGTTTGGAGAACACGGACAGCTTAACAATATTGAGTCGCCCAATCCCAGAATATAATGTATACCCAAAGTGTTGGGTCTACTTTATTTATTTTGTAATTTTTTTAATGTTTACTTATTTTTGACAGAGCATGCCTGTGGGGGGAGGGGCAGAGAGAGAGGGAGACACAGGATCAGAAGCAGGCTCCAGGCTCTGAGTGGTCAGCACAGAGCCCAATGCGGGGCTCAAACTCACAGACTGTGAGATCATGACCTGAGCTGAAGTCAGTCACTCAACCGACTGAGCCACCCAGGCGCCCCCTGTTGGGTCTACTTTAGATTTTTTAAAGCAGTGTTTAATATATTTTTTTCCTATAGGACTTTGCACATCTAAATTAACTCCCAATAAATTGATATTTTTCATGCTATTTTAAACAGTATTAAAAAATTTTTTCCAATAGTTTGTTATATAGAAACATTGATTTTATTGCATAGAGAGAATTGATTTTATTGCATATAGAGAGAATCTGCCACACTTACTAGTTAGTTCTAGTAGATTCCTGTGATGTTCCACATATGCAATCACATCTAAGAATAAAGACAGCTTAAGTTCTTCCTATTCAATATTTATGCCTCGTAATTTCTTTTTCTTGCCTTATTGCATTGGTTAGAACCTTCTGATTAATGTTGACTAGAATGGGATTTTCTCCCAACTATTTTGAAAGTTTCAAAATACAGTGAGGCTGTAAAATATACACCCATATCTAAACAGTGTTTACCATTTTGCCATATTTATCCCCCCTCCTTTATCTCTCTCCTGCTCCTGCCCCTCCTCTGCCATCTGAAAGACACACGCACATTTTTTTCCTGAACCATTCAAAAGGAAAGTACTGGCATGATCATGCTTAGTAACTCAGTTTACCACCATGCCTCTCCTAAGAAAAAAGATAATCCCCTCCACTATCACAATACCATTGTCACACCTAGCAAAATAACAATGTCTTCTCTAATCTAATATTTGGAACATATATAATCTTCCCCAATTGTGCCCCAAATTGTCTTCATAGCTTTTTCAAAGAAAATAGTTTTATTGAGATTATAATTCATGTGCCATCAATTCATCCATTGAAAATGTACAAGTCAATGGCTTTTGGTATATTATTAATTTCTAAAGTTGTGGTAAAATATACATCATAAAATTTGCCATTTTACCTTTTTTAAGTGTACAATTCAATGGTGTTAATTAAACTCATATGTTGTACATCAATCACCACTACCTATTTCTAAACTTTTGCATCACCTAAAACAGAAACTCTGTAACTATTAAACAGTTAACTCCCCATTCTCTCCTACCTTCAGACACTGGTAATCACTAATCTACCTTATGTCTTTATTAGTTTGCCCATTCTACACGTTTCATGTAAGGAGAATCATACACTATTTGTCCTGTTGTGTCTTATTTCATTTACCATAATATTTTCAAGGTTCATCGGTATAGTAGCATGTGTCAGAATTTAATTCCTTTATATGGCTGAATAATATTCCATTTTGTATATATATACACCACATTTTATTTATGCATTCAGATGGACACCTAGGTTGTTTCCACCTTTTGACTATTGTGAATAATACTGCAATGAACACTGACATCTAACAGATATCCGTGTGTGTGTGTGTGTGTGTGTGTGTGTGTGTGTGTGTGTGTGTTGTTCTATTAATGTGATGTGTTACATTGATTCTCTTATGTTGAAAATTTTTTTGCATCCCTGGAATAAATCCCACTTGGTCATGGTGTATAATTTGATTAAAGATATGAGTATAAATCCAAGAAGCTTAATTAACTCAAAGCAGGATAAGCTCAAAGAGACCCACACTGAAACACATTACAATCAAATTCAAAGACAAAGACAGAGAATCTCAAAGCTATGAGATGTGACTCATCACTTACAAGGGATTCTTAGTGAAACTAAGAGCCAATTTGCCATCAGAAGTCATGGAGACCAGAAGGCAGTCGGGGACATACTTGAAGTGCTGAGAGAAACAACAACAACAAACAACCTGCCAATCAAGAATTCTGTATCCAGGGGCGCCTGGGTGGCTCAGTCGGTTGAGCGTCCGACTTCAGCTCAGGTCATGGTCTCGCAGTTCATGAGTTCAAGCCCTGCGTCAGGCTCTGTGCTAACAAACAGCTCAGAGCTTGGAGCTTGCTTCAGATCTCTCTCTCTCTCTCTCTCTCTCTCTCTCTCCCCCTCTCTCCCCCTCCCCTGCTCATGCTCTGCCTCTCTCTGTCTCTCAAAAATAAATAAAATGTTAAAAACAATTAAAAAAAAAAAAGAATTCTGTATCCAGAAAAACTGTGCTTAAAATATAAGGGAGAGGGGCGCCTGGGTGGCGCAGTCGGTTAAGCGTCCGACTTCAGCCAGGTCACGATCTCGCGGTCTGTGAGTTCGAGCCCCGCGTCGGGCTCTGGGCTGATGGCTCAGAGCCTGGAGCCTGTTTCCGATTCTGTGTCTCCCTCTCTCTCTGCCCCTCGCCCGTTCATGCTCTGTCTCTCTCTGTCCCCAAAATAAATAAATGTTGAAAAATATAAGGGAGAAAGTGACATATTTCCAGAGAGACAAAGCAGAAAGTTTATTTGCACTAGAGCTGTCCTCCAAGAGATGCTTTAGAGAGCCCCTGAGGTGGGATAGAAAGAGCCTAGACACAGCCGGAGGCCCCAAAGACCCAGGGTGAGGGGGAACACACGGGCGAATTGTTGTGTTTCTTGGTTTGTAACTTCACCTGTTATTTCCTACCTGATTTAAAAGACAAATGCACAAAAATAATTATAAACCTACCTATTGAGCAAATCATGTATTCTTATATAATGGATTAAACTCGCCCATCAAAAGACACAGATTGGCAGAGTGGACCACAAGCAGGGTCCAACTACATACCGTCTCAATCTCAGGACACACACATGTTGGAAGTGAAAGAATACAAAAGGGTCTTACTTGTAATTAGTAACCAAAAGAGAATGGGGTCACTACACTAATTTCAGACAAGACAGATTTTAAGTAAAAGTTGTTACAAGAGACAAAGCACATTATATAATGATGATAGTAATAATATGCTGCCCTTGTCTCCTGTAACAGTGATAAAAGGGTGAGT